TCACCTCCCTTTTGATGTCACCATCGAAGCAGCCGCTTATCCCATGATATGACTCACATAGTTTCTGGTGTAGAACCAGTCCCCCACTCATGTTTTAGACCCTGGACATAGTTAATCAAGCTGTAGAGACCAGGGCCTCTTTGGATGTTATTTGCTTTCCTTACTTTGAAATGCAGTAAGTCAGCCCTGGTGCATTTGGCTGCTTTCCTGCTTACCATGCTAAAGGAGGTCTAGACATCCATCCCAAAGCCTTGCCCCAGCAGCACAACTCTGCAGCTCAACACAGCTACATTGATATTTTCTCCGGCCAGCTTGAATGCCCATGGCCAGGGGTCAGCAAACTTTTTCAGCAGGGGGCCAGTCCACCATTCCTCAGACCTTGGATTTTAAATAAAAGCACACATTCTACTCATGTAAAAACACCAGGCAGGCCCCACAAATAACCCAGAGATGCATTTTAAATAAAAAGACACATTCTAATGTAAAAACACACTGATTCCTGGACCGTCTGTGGGCCGGATTTAGAAGGCAATTGGGCCGGATCCGGCCCCTGGGCCTTAGTTTGCCTACCCATGCTCATGGCCCTGAGGAAGAGCTGACTGCAGCTTTCCAAAACAGAGCTGTGGATAGTCAAAATAATGTAGTTCTGGGCTTTTATTCCCCTCACGTTCGTGAATCGGCCCTTAGAGTTCCTTCTTTGCATTTCCCCATATGAGACTTGTTTTTGTTTTGTTTTTTCATTTACCTAATTCTTTTTTTGCTTGTCCAAATGAAAGAAGACATCCACTTTTCACTTGATTCATTTGGGAAGAAACACAAACAGTTGCCACCAGAGACTTCAGGCTTGACCCATTATGCCTTGTTATTTTTAGCTGGAGTGCACATTTCCAACAAACCTCATGCCACACATAAAATCACTGTCCGCCTGCAGAAGTTCGGCTAAGAATCATTACAGGACACGGCTAGCTGGAAGATTTTTCTTTAACAAGGTTTCTCTTCATTTCCTTTTTGTGGTGGAACGTCTCTTTGGAGCAGGCTGTGGTAGTGAATAGCTATGTAGATTTGTTGCTGCCTTAAAAAGCAACCCTGTGTATTTGCAAATGCAAAGAAATTATAGGTATACAGAAGGCAGGGAAGACACTGCAGGAGCCAAAGCAACATAAGCTCAAGTAATTTATAAAAGACAGATGAGCAGCTAGCAATGTGGGCTGTGGTGAAGGTAGGGCTGCCATACGTCCAAACATTCCTGGGATTTCAAAGGCGTCCGGGGGGGATTTCCAACAGGTGCAAGTCAATAAAAAAATTGCGTTTTTGTTTTTTTTAAAAAAGGTCAACAATTTTGGGGGGTTCCAGATAAGTGCTGGAGATGCAAAGAGGTTGAGGGAACGTTCTTTTATATGTGGTGGACTTGTAAAAGAGTCTTGGGAAATGATCCATAATGAATTGGAAAAAAATGTTTAAAAATACTTCCCCCCAAAAAACCAGAGTTCTTTCTGTTGGAGATAATTCAGACTGAAATCCCCAGGTGTCAAAAAATGTTTATTTAGTATGCTGCTACTGCGGCTCATGTTTTGCTAGCCCAAAAATGGAAAACGAGTGAGGTCCCAACCAAAGTAGAATGGCAACTTAAACTGACAGAATATGTGCAGCATCCAGACTTAGCATAGAGAATAAGAGAACAAGAAGAACATACATTTAGAGAAGACTGGAAAACGGTCGTTGAATATATGGGGAATAACTGTGTACAGCTGAAAATGCTGGCAGCATTAAGATAAATTCAGCAGTGTAAATAAGTTTTGATGGATGTAATAATGGAATACTGAACGGTATAGTTTTGTAAAATATGCAAGGATTTGTGATATGTAAAATGAACCATGGAAAGAGAAGAAGGGAAGCCATTGATACTTTAAGGATGTAAAAATGAGTACTTTAAATTGTAAAACAGACATTTTTAGGGTGTCCTGGTTTTTACTTTTTGAAATAGCAATGAGAGTTGCTGCTTTGATTCTCACCTCAGCCAAACGCTCACGATGGCCTAGCAATGGGGGGGATTCTTAAATTGCCTTTTAATGTGAACTAACCTTATTTGCACTTCCTGAGTTAAAAGAGGAACTAAAATACAAGGAACAGAAGAAGCTGGCATAAAGAAAGACCGTGTAAGTGAAGACAGTGTAAACTTTTACCAAATCCCTGTCCAGAAACTGAGAAACCAGACAAAGCTGGTAGAAAACACAAAGGACGCTTGGGTCTCTAGTGATATATTTATATATACTCACAAGTACCCACCAAACTATGTACCTGACCCTTCAGAGGGAGTGTGATTCTCCGAAAAAAAGTTACACATCACTTGGGAAGACAGGCGAACTAATATCAGTGTACTGGAAGAAGCAAAGATCACCAGTGTTGAAGGAATGATTCTTCAGCATCAGCTTTGTTGAACTGGTCATGTTGTGCGGATGCCTGATGATCATCTTCCAAAGCAACTACTCTATTCTGAACTTAAAAGTGGAAAGCGTAATGCTGGTGGTCAACAAAAGAGGTTTAAAGACTGTCTCAAGGCAAATCTTAAAAAATGTAGTATAAACACTGACAACTGGGAAACACTGGCCTGCGAGTGCTCCAATTGGAGAACAGCCTTTACCGAAGGTGTCATGGGCTTTGAAGACACTCAAACTCAGGATACAAGTGAGAAATGTGCTAAGAGGAAGGCACGCTTGGCAAATCCATACCATGGTCAACTCCCGCCCAGAAACCAATGTCCCCACTGTGGAAGGACGTGTGGATCCAGAATTGGCCTCCACAGTCACTTACGGACTCACTTTTAAGACCGTGTTTATGGAAGACAATCTTACTCGGCTACGAGTCATCGCCAAAGAAGAAGAAAAAGAAGATTCCATCCAGAATGGGGAACATGGCTCTCTACCAAAGATGGGTGCCACTTACCCCAAGAGCCTCTGTCTTTCTGACACAATTTATTAGCCCTCATCCAACCCAATACTGCATCCAGTTCAGAGCTTGCACAGTCACTCTGGGTGCAGATGTTTATGGAGAAATAATAATAATAATTGCCCATGTCGAAAAGAGTATTAGGCTGCACTGTTTTCGATGAAAGGAAGTATGGTACAAGGTACAAGGATACAAGGACACAAGGATTGTACCTTCACAGTGCCATCATGTACATGCCCAGAAGTTAAGTCTACAGTGGTACCTCGGGTTAAGAACTTAATTCGTTCTGGAGGTCCGTTCTTAACCTGAAACTGTTCTTAACCTGAGATACCAGTTTAGCTAATGGGGCCTCCTGCTGCCGCCACGCCGCCGCCACGTGATTTCTGTTCTCATCCTGAAGCAAAGTTCTTAACCCGAGGTTCTATTTCTGGGTTAGCGGAGTCTTTAACCTGAAGCGTCTGTAACCTGAAGCGTATGTAACCCGAGGTACCACTGTATTGAATTCCCAGATAAGTGTGCAAAGGATTACAACCACAGAGCCAATGCATGTTTAGAAAAACACTGACTAAGCTTAAACAGGCCACATTTGTTTTGGAGGAAAAAACCAGATGAAAAATGTTGAGTTTAAGCACACTTTTAAAACTAATAGTTGTAATATTTTTACTGTCATGTTCATGTTGAGAATTGTCTTTTAGGGAATCTGAACTGCTCCCCGCAGTTACACTTCTCTGCAGTGGGAGTAGGGGAAATGTCTGTACAGTGGTACCTCGGGTTAGGTACTTAATTCGTTCTGGAGGTCCGTTCTTAACCTGAAACTGTTCTTCTTAACCTGAAGCACCACTTTAGCTAATGGGGCCTCCTGCTGCCGCCGAGCCGCAGGAGCACGATTTCTGTTCTCATCCTGAAGCAAAGTTCTTAACCTGAAGCACTATTTCTGGGTTAGCAGAGTCCGTAACCTGAAGCATATGTAACCCGAGATGCCACTGTATGTGATGAACAACCATTTTGCTACACATTTTATCACACCTGCACCAGACGTGTTGTCAAAGCCTCCTTACTACACAGCAGGAAGATGATACAGGTGGCCCAAGTTCCTTGGGGATGAATGAACTTTGTGGGGCCATTTGCTCATCTGTTTGGCTCACGGTTGGATTAGTGTGTAGATTTCTCCTTGGGTTCAAATGCAGAGCCTCTGCTCCCCCCCCCCCAGTTTTCCCTATCTATAGGTATTGTTGAAGCCCCGCAACACTTGGATGGGGTATGCTGTTGTCAAATAGTAACCTATTCAAAGCTCAGCCGAGAGAGAGAGAGAGAGAGAGAGAGAGAGAGAGAGAGCAGTCTCTGCCCAGGAGTGAGCCATTTCAAATCCCTACAGTTGCCCAGAGTGCCACCTTCTTACTGTGATGTTAATGAGATGAACGAGAGCCCCACAGGGAACAGTAATAATTGCAGGGTGAAGAACTTGTTTTCTTCCTGGATCTTCTCTCTGGGCTGCCTCTTCTTAAAAGCAAGGTAGGATTATTATTATTTTTGTAACACTAATTACAAATGTTAATTAAACATTTCTTTGGAATTTTGCCCTCTATTAATAGGTCAGATAAACAGGGAATAGTGATGACAAGCACAAATCATTACCGGCCTACTCCTGAGAGAGTCATAATTTATTCTCTCCCAAATCCTTTGCTGTCCAAAGATGAAGCTATTGTTCCAGTGTGTGCTTTTATTAAACCGACGCAGCACCTACCAAAGCACAGGGGTGCTTTGTGTTATTGTCAGAATTTATTTTTTTTTAAAAAAACCCTTCCTTTGACAACTGAAAAGCTGAGCTAGATTCTTCAGAATCTACTTACACGTTGCCTCTTTGCTCTTTCCCACTCCTGAGGAGAGAGCTTAATCCGGAGTCCTGGTTTAGATAACATGCCAAGTGAAACCTTGCCTTTGTACAACAGGGCAAGGCACGAGAAAAGGACTGGGGAGGTGTAACGCAACTGTGCACTCATTTCCAGGTGCCCGCACATTTCTGCAGTTTTGCTAAGCCAAGTTTTTTCCCCCAGGGGATATTTTCGAAGTTCTCTCACAGACATCATTAGAGGTACCAGTGAGCGCATTGCATTGGTGACCCCTGGTTTAGGTGTGATCCCTGCTTTAGAAATCATGTCTAAATTATGGATTATCGTCAATCCCACAGGGAAACATGCAGGAGTACACAGGTACAAGACTTTGCCACCACGCATATGGCAGGCCTGCTTTATGCATGAACCTGGCCAGTGACTTCTCAAAGGCTGTCTAAAGAGTTTCAGGCCAGTTCAACAATCTGGATTCATTTCTCCATATAGTTTACGTTCAGCTACACTGCACTAGCTGTCAATTCTGGTAGGATCTGTTTGCGCAATGAAGATTTCCCGCCTCTTTCCCGCTGCAGTTCCTCGTGCCCCTGAAAGCCAGCATGGGATGTGGTGTGAGGCTCTGCAGTTGGAGTGGTGCATTGGCAGGAACTCGAGATTCTCGCTCCTTCCACTTCTGGATCCCACCCAGTATGTTTGCTGCATTACATTGAAGCATCCCACAATGTCACAAACTGGCACTATTCTATTATTGGGCAATGTCCCATGCAAGTCTATGGACTCACTGAACTAAACTGATTAGTGCACATTGATTTCAATGGATCCACCCTAAGTAAAAAGTAAAGGACCCCTGGATGGTCCAGTCAAAGGTGACTAAGGGGTGCACTGCTCATCTCACTTTTCAGGCCAAGGGAGCCGGTGTTTGTCCACGGATAGTTTTCCAGGTCATATGGCCAGCATGACTGAACCACTTCTGGCACAATGAGACACTGTGACGAGTGCTATAGTGCATGGAAACATTTACCTTCCAGTTGCAGCGGTCCCTATTTATCTATTTGCACTGGTGTGCTTTCGAACTGCAAGGTTGGCAGGAGCTGGGATGGAGCAACAGGAGCTCACCCCGTTGTGCAGATTCAAACTGCCGACCTTCCAATCAGCAAGCCCAAGAGGCTCAGTGGTTTAGACCTAAGTATGACTTAGATGAGGGATGCAGGTGGCGCTGTGGGTTAAACCACAGAGCCTAGGACTTGCCGATCAGAAGGTCAGCAGTTCGAATCCCCGTGACGGGGTGAGCTCCTGTTGCTCGGTCCCTGCTCCTGCCAACCTAGCAGTTCAAAAGCACATCAAAGTGCGAGTAGATAAATAGGTACCACTCCGGCGGGAAGGTAAAAGGCGTTTCCGTGCGCTGCTCTGGTTCGCCAGAAGTGGCTTAGTCATGCTGGCCACATGTCCCGGAAGCTCCCTCGGCCAATAAAGCGAGATTAGCGCCGCAACCCCAGAGTCGGTCATGACTGAACCTAATGGTCAGGGGTCCCTTTACCTTTACCTTTATGACTTAGATGAACATTAAAATGATTATTAGATGAACTATTAAAATGATTTAAAACATTTTAATAGTGTTATTTTTCAGCATCCCACAAAGTATTTCTCAAACTTGGGTCTCCAGTGGCTTTTGGACAACAATTCCCATCCTCCATGACAACTGGTCCTGCTAGCTTATGGGAGCTGTAGTCCAAAAACAGCTGAAGACCCACGTTTGGGAAACACTGATCTAACCTCACCAGCTGTCTTGTTGTACTGCCAGTAGAAGTTGCTTCTTATGACCATTGAGCAGGACCAGCCCAAGACAATGAGCTGCTTGAGGCAAAGGACAAGATTCCACTTACGACTCCCAATCCAAATAAAGAAACTGATCGGAATAACAGCTGGATTTTACTTCAGCACTGGTGATGGGTTAGCATTCTCCTGAGGGCAGCAGGCTAGCTTAGGGGATGCAGAGCAGACCATGTAGTCTACTTAGTTCTATCCTTCAATATCTCACTGCCACTCATGACCACCAGGATCTGCCTCCTGAGGTGGTGGCCTCACCCTGCCATCCTGAGATGAACCACTCCACTCTGCTGCGTGGAGGTCAAGATATGTGCTAATAACATAAAGGAAGCTGTAAAATCTGCATACCATAGTTAATAACAAGAGCAGGTCTCTGGGAGGCCCAATTTCACAGCCAATAATAATAGGGAACCTCTCTGCCCTGTCTATCAGAGAAGATGCATTTGTTCCATTTACAGTCTGTTTTCCTAGTTTTCCAGCATAGCAACGCTCTCTGCTTTTCAGCCAAGGCTCTTTATTTATTCAGGTTGTTAAATTCCTCTTTTCAATTATAGACACATAACTAGCAATCCCAGGATGCCCAGTCATTTTCTCAAGGGATATTCTACAAATTCCTTTCGGGCATCTTCTCTCTCTAGAGCATAAAAACTCAGATTACTTACCACTCTGCTCAATAACCACAGACAGTAATGACTTGTCGGAGTAGCTGCGATTGGCATAGTATATTTTGGAAACACCAACTTTTCTTGCTGATCTTGCCTGCCTGCCCCCCCCCCCCCCCCGCATTTCAACCAATCTGCAACACAAAATTGTTTGCTCTTGATTCACTGGGGCTCAATAGGCATAAAGCAGGAACCTCAATATGGTGATTGCCCCCATAGGGTGAAGGGGATTTAGACTCCTATTCAAATGGATTTACTTTTAACCACCTGATTCATTTTTGTTCACTCATTGTTAGAATTTCAAAGCATTCCAGGAGATGTCGGTTGTTGCGTGACTCCTTGTTAAAACCAGTGGGAGCCTTGTGACCAAATTCCCATTTTCTGTGTCTTCAGGACTAGTCCCCTTTTGTGCCAGGAAACTCCTGTCTCCCACAGTCTCAGATCTAATTAATGAAATCTGCATGTTTCCCATTTTAGAATAGATATCAGGGAACAACGCTGCTCCCAAGGCCAGGTTGAGAAAACAACTAGATTGTTATCACTATGGTTGGAATCGTCCCACAGAAATCAGTGGGAAGCTGCGTGCCGTATGGCATTCCTACTCATTGTGCCCAGAGGCACCTGAATTAATGTGCATCATAATAGATAACATACTAATGAATAATAGCTCTTGGGCCTTCATTGGAGTATGACACATTAATGAAGCGTGCTTGGGAGAATACCTGTACAAGAGTAGAATGCATTATTATTTCAGAGGAAAGTGGAATATGGAGGGAAAGGGCTGAGGCCACAGGTGCCTGTTCCTCACCAAGCATCTGATGTGGCCAACTTATGGGTGGTCAAGAAGAGGACAGAAGAGGATGCAGGAAGACACCCAATTTGCATGTGCTACTTGCGCTGTGATCTAAACCACTGAGCCTCTTGGGCTTGCCGATCAGAAGGGCAGCAGTTTGAATCCATGCGCTGGGGTGAGCTCCTGTTGCTTTGTCCCAGCTCCTGCCAACCTAGCAGTTTGAAAGCATACCAGCATGAGTAGATAAATAGGTACCGCTGTGGTGGAAAGGTAAACGACGTTTCCGTGCACTCATCACAGTGTCCCTTTGCTCCAGAAGCAGTTTAGTCATGCTGGCCACATGACCTGGAAGAGCTGTCTGCAGACAAACGCTGGCTCCCGCAGCTTGAAGCGAAATGAGCGCCGCACCCCATAGTCAAGTTTGACTGGACTTAACCATCAGGGCTCCTTTACTTTTACCTTTAGCTCAAAAGTCAGCTCAACACTCGCTGCCATCTCAATCCGCAATAGCCCCTCCCAATGACTCCTGAATGGAGTTTTGAGTAGGAGCAATTTACACTGGTATAAATTACTCTAGGCAGAAAACTGATAAACTTTATTTGCATCAGCCTATGGCCATAGCAACAATAAAACATTACAATGTTTATTATAAAAGCACTGTTTGGGATCCTGAATCAGCAGTCAGATAGTGGCCCTTATTCTGATTGCCCCTGCTAAGAACCTAGCAACCTTTGCTGTTATCTTCTCCATTTGGTCTGACAGGAGAAAGGACACTGTGGCAGTGGTTGTGTGTCCTGGGATGGTCAGTACGAGTGGGGTGATAATCTCGTTCCTCAGGTCTTCGTAGAGAGTACAAGAGAGGAGGACATGAGCAACTGTTTCGGTTCTACCGTCTCCACGGGGGCAAAGGCATTTCTCATGCAGGATCTTTTGGAATTGGCCCTCAAGTACCGCAAATGGCAAAACATTCAATCTTGCGAGTGTGAAAGCACGTCTGTATTTTGGGATAGCTAGTTTGTGCAGGTATGGAGCCAGAGAATCAAAATGGGAAGATGGAAACTGATCATACCATGGGCAGAATTTCCTTATAGTGGCCAGGTTGTTCTGATGCTCAGTATCTTTTAGATGTTGGCAAATTAAGACTGTATGCTTTGGTAAGGCCCATAATAAGTACCGGTAGGTGTTGTGGGAATAGGCCACAAGAGTAGAGTTTTTGGTGGATAGTTTTAAGCCAGGCACTTTTGTGGTGGTCTTGAAGTACTAGAGATAATAAATCAGGGGTATGCTAGCTTAGCATTTGTTAAATCCAATGTTTTATAATTCTAGAGTTGTTTCTCGACTTTTGCAACATGCAATAGCCATGCCCTATTCCTGGATCCCCTCTACGTAGTCTATTTTTACTGGAATCCTCTAATCAAAATGGACCAATATGTACAATGAAATATGCTGTCACCTGTCTTGAGCCCTTGAGATAAAGTGGTCTATAAATTCAATTAAGTGAATAAAATACCGGGAGATGGAATTGGTTGTGGCTGTCCGATATAGGAAATGCAAGTTTGTCACAGCATAATGTGCAAAAGTACCCTGTGCTGGCACTCAGTAATACTGTCCATCATAAGCATTTGTGTTTTGGGGTTTTTTTTTTAATGCAGTAAGTCTTGGGCTGCTTTCAGTAGTAACATTAAGGAAACACTGTGGATGAAATCCAATGATGTTTATGTACCAACAGAACAGGCACCATTGGCAGAACAGAGTCCCATTCCTCATTCAGGCTCTCTGCACACCCCCAAAATCTTTTCAGGCGACTCTCTGGAGCAGATTTGGATGGGGTATAGCAGAGAGTATAGGAGGAGGAAGTCCCGTTGCATGATGTTGGATGTGGCCCTGTAATTCTAAACAAAGTTACTATTGTCCAGTGATTTCAACTGAATGTAATATTTTGGCTGCAAACCCAAGAAGTGAGGGATCACTGGAAGTGCGCTCCTTTGAAATTTGAGCACATGCAGTTACACAAAATTAGCTTTCCTTTTGAAATGAGCGGGACTCTCTTTCAAGTAAATGTGCCGAGTGCTGACACCAGA